ACGGCTATATGGGTAATTTTCCGACCGCGATGATCCGTGAGAGCGGCCATGGGCGACGCTGGGCTTGTGCGCAGGACAAGAATACTAAGGGCTGCTGAGATTTGAGATCTAAGAGCGGCTATGTAATGCACGAGTGCACTGACCGAGGGCTAGCATCTAGATCTCATTGTTGTCAAGAGACGATTGCTTCGGGAAGAGGGTCCGGAGACAAGGCCAGATCATGACGCAGATGATGGCATGATGTTGTTGTCGTCGTATGTTTCGACCTTCAACTTCTGTGGGTAGAAATGAGCAACCAGTTAGTCATGGACGTTGGGGAGGGATAATGATGATTTCCATATCTAGCTACCAGAGAACAGCCCATCACAACAGTTTCTCACCCTTCAAGACGCTATTCGAAGACACTCTTGCGTCAAGCCTTGCGATGTCTGTAGATGCAACTTTGATAAGACCAGCTGCAACTGGTGAGTCGATCCAGTATCACGATAGACTCAAGATTTCTGCCAGTGTTCAAGACAAGTCCTGCTATAGCCACCATCACCACCAACATCATCATCTTTGTCTTCTTCGTCATCGTAGAGAAGAAGGAGGAGAAAAGGCCCCATTCCGAGTGCTATTCACACCCAGCGCTCAGGCCTGCTCGTTCCAACAACACCAAGCGTAACGCTGTACCGGACCGCTTGCGACTTGCAAACTCGTACAATGGCAGCTTTTGCACTTCGAGGCAATGGACAACTTACCACATTGCACATAATGGCTGGAAGAGAATGAAGCAAGAAAGGATAAAGGTAAAGGGTCAACAGGGTCCTCTGCCCGCTTGCATATCCACCTTATCCATTCAACAGGCCATCACGACGAAACAAAAACAACAGTGGTGGAGAATAGCGTTGCGGGGCAAATGCCATTCAATGAATACCCTCCGCTTCGAAATCCACAGAAATCTCTGATATTCAGGTTCATTCTCGACGAACGGCTCAAGAACAAACCACATCTTTCGACGCAGGTCAAAGCGCGTTCGATCCATCAGGCGTAGACCACGGTATTATATCTTTCAGTTGCTGTTGTCTCCTCCAGTTCCACATACTACGGAGCACATAAACAGCTTTCCTCGCCTGTTTGTTTCCAATATTGCCCTGTGCTCTTCCTTGTGAGATCTTGATGCAAGGGGGAAGGGGTGAGGTATGCAAAAATTGGGTTTAGCAATTTGCTCGTTGTATTCATGCAGGGCAACAATGCTCTATAGTCGACAAAGACATCGGGGCGCGGCGGTGATAAACGTCGACGGTGACGATGATGGCGGTGGAGGACTGGGATCTGTGGATTTCACATGGAAACAGACACCCGTGAGGTAGGAACTCTATGGTAACTGCGTCGACGGAAGAGGGCCTTGTTAGTCGAATGAGAGACTGAACATGAGCGGGTGGGTGGTAGCCGCTAGGAATCTTGGTCGACGAGTAATGCGTCAACTCTGATTTTGAGGCATCGAACTTGACTCGGCCGGACGTTGATGGACAAGCTTTTCCACCTGTGTGGTAATCAGAGGGAGTATGCATTAGCTTAGAAAGCCTTAAGAGTCTGAGACGAAGCGAAAAAGAAAAGAAGAAAAAGAGGAGAAGAGCCGGAAAATGCAGAATAGAGACCTCTCTAGCTCGAAGCGAAAGAGCCGGCTTAACGCCGTCTCATCTGCCTTCTGGTAGCATCCAGAGAGCTGGGAACACGAAGCGAGCGGCACGAGCTGAAAGTCGCCGACACTGTGGCTCAACTTGCTCAGTTCAAGTCTATTCGAGTCTAGCGATCTGAATGGCGCTGAACTTGAAGAAAAAGATGGTGTGGTGTAACGGTTTTTGGAGCTACCGAAGACGAGTGAGTGGGAGAACGGGGGTTTGACTGAATCTGGGACTCGTCCGGGACCGACAGCTGCCCGTCACATTCGAGCTGCAGGGCGAGGAGCGGGCGAGATGACAAAAGATAGGGGGATAGAAGAGGAATTGGAGGGTAACATCCGGTAGCAGGCCTATTGTTCCAGGTTGCCGAATAAAGAGAGAATAAGATGATGCGGGTGTAGTGGAATGAGGAGATTCGCTCCCAAGCAGAGAGGCACAATGCAGTAACGCAAAGAGTACAATAATTCCTTTGACAAGATTTCCATTAAAAAGACCCGACCGAAGAGACTCTCCGTGATGCAATTCGAAGCGGCAGATTCATACAAGTATCAAAGTGGCGGCCAGGTATAGCGAGTCTAGAACCAGCCATGATGCGGCTTCCTCGTGTGTTGTTTCCTTCAAACTCGTGCTTCCACAGTCGCTCCTGCTGTGCCGTGAGGATACATACCTAGAGACTTAGGAGAACAACCCTTGCCTTACTGGGATCGGAAGTACCAACGCCCAGCCGCTTCTCCTCCCACTGCCCTCACACCATCACTCACTCCTTCCGCTGTTGCAAAGTGACGGCAGGACACCGCACCAGAAACGCAGTCCAGGGAAGGAGAGATCGCCCGCTTCGGCGATTGGCCCCGCATGGCCGGGTGCCGGGACGGCGGGCGCTAAGCCGCTTCGGGACGTCAATACGGACAACAATAGCAAAGGACAATAGCAAGCCAAAAGCCGGCTAAGACGCCGCACCCCCTCCCTCGTCTCTCTCTCATTTTCTTTCCTCTTTGCACCACCGCAAGCCGAGCTCTTCAACCGACTGAGACACGCATCCAGCACACATCACAAAGCACACGCCTATTATTGACTTCTTGTCTGGCAAAGGGAGGGGCAGCCACAATACGCAGACAATACGCTGGGCCGGCGAGCCGCATGCCGCGAGCGTTGGCCGCGGCTCGTCAAATCGCCGATTGCACCGCACCAGGTCGGGGTTATGGGCCGTCATGGACAATATTATGATTTCTGCTCTGTGGGCTGTGGACTGATGAATCGCGCAAAAATCTTCTCGTTCGATATTCCAGGGCGAAAAGGGAAAGAAGTTGCGCGGGTTGGAAAGATGGCTTCCAGACGATGGCATTCCAGTCATGGTGCACCGCAACTCCCCCCCCCCCCCCCCCCCCCTACAAGCACAGGCTCTAAGCGTCCAACCAGCTGCTGCAAGCTTGCTCTGCTTTGTCCTTCATGCAGACTGCTGAAGCCATGCGGACGGAGTAGCTTCTGCCCATGCCTCATACCAGTCACATCTCGTGCATACGGCCTCACCTGCAGCTCTAGGGCCCAAACCCTCGGCGATGGGAGCTGCATTCGAGCATCCTCCGGGTGACCACGTGTACAAGTCTGTCCAGTGCTGTGCTGTTGTTGTTACCGCTGCAACTGTTGTCTCGTGGCATTCCTGCCAACCACTTCGGCCGGAGTCCGTCAACCTGACAATACATACAAGCCCCTCAGAGCACAACCACAAAAGGATGCAAATGGCGGATGGACGCAGATGGAAAAAGTGTTGCCATCAGGAGACAATCCGAAGCCGAAGGCGCCAAGAAGGCGCCTCCCTTCAACTGCTCGCCTTGTTTCCGCAATTCCCGCAATCTATTGACGGCGGAAACTCTAAGCCGCGAGGAAGTCAAGGGAGAAGAAAAGAAAATTGTGCAGAAGCAGAGGCTCAACAAGACGTAATAGCGGCCGCGAGTTATGCTGGCGCACCTGTAGATCACACGCCCCTCCGGACCAGATTGTCGGACACACTCAAAACGGGGGGCGTGTAGCTTTTTGGCTGCGTCCCACGAGCCTGGGTGCGCTACACGGCATTTGCAGTCGGCTCAAGACAGCAGGCAGAGGCGGTTCTTCTGTCTGGATTGACATATTCTTCTCTGCCAAGGGAGGCAGATATGTTACCAATATCGGTCCAGGCAGGGGTTCTTCCTTGTCGCTGGGGATGGAGGCGTGATTGTCTCTGTGAGTTGTTCTCCGTTCGAGTGGTATCTCTGTCTCCCCTCTCTTACCGAAGCATTTCCATAATATAGCGGAGAAGAGCTGCAGCAAGCAGTGCGTGTAAGTTCATCGGGAACCACAAGTCATCAAACCCGCAATGGTATTGTTGCTAGCACAAGATTCCAAGGCCAAGCCACACGACGACAGAGGAAAGACCGTGGAAGCCGCGCGGGTGTTTGGCTCGGCCTGCAAGAGGACGCACGGCCTGGTGTGTGGCATGATTGCTGCATGAATCAGTCGCTGCTCAATCATCCAGGCTGAAGCATTTCGGATAGGGGGGCCGCCCGTCCTGGACCTGATGGGGCATGGGGTGGGAGCAGCAAAGAGCGGGAGCATGTCGGTGTCTGGCATTTCTTTAATCAAGGGAATTAGGTTGGGTGGGAGCGTCAAGCCAAGGGGGGGAGGGGTGGGCCAAACAGCTTCCCGCGACACCTCCTCCTGGGCTGCTTCTCTGGCAAAGGTATATTATCCGTCTCCTGTCTTGACCCTTCATGCTTCTCTGCATTGTCAACCATCTTGATCTCTTCTTCTCGAGTCTCGCTCCATCACATATACCTTGATCACCTCTTTACCCCTCACTTGACCAGCAGTTGCATTCCTGTGCTGCTCTCTTGGCTGTTGGCTTATACCACACACTTGCCCTGCACACCTTGGCATTCACATCACCTCGCTGCCTTGACACGCTACCAACCACATCTACACCCTCCCTTTCGGAAACATACAATCAGAGGGTAGCGCTTCTTCAGTTCAGCACTGTGAGCGTCAGATCTGGGCCAAAGAACGGACAAGGAACAAAAATCTCTTCATCCGAGTACAGACGGCCAACTCCCTCTTCACGGGCTGAACCAGGGCAATAGACAATCGGCGGGTCTGGGACTTGGGCACATTGATTCACTGTCCGATAGACATATCATCGACTCATCACCCCCTCCATCCTTCAGAGTCCCATTTTCTCTTATACTATAAGAGACCGGTTCATCCTTCTTCTCGTCACAATTTTGCTTCATTATCTCACATACACAACACTTCACCATGAACACATCACCTGCAACGACTACAGCCGCAGCTGCTATCCAAAGCTACATGGCTGGCCCCAAGATCCCCTCAAGCCAGACACCCTTGGCCTCCCCGCCTCCCGCCTACACTCCACACACAGCACCCGATATTGCTTCTCAGGTGCGGCAACAACTGCGAGAGCCTTTCATCATGGGTCGGCCCTCCATGCCCGAGGCTGTCTTGGAGGCCTTGGCGACCGAAGACGAGGATGAACAAGACCAGGAGGAGAGCATCTCCCCAATCAGCCTCCGCATCAACACATCGGTCCTCATCTCCAAGAACAACAATTTGGTGTGTTTGACCGACACGCCTGCCAGCCACGCCAACGCAATCGCCAGGGCCGTGGTCAAGGCCATCCAAGAGAACAGCTCCGGCCAGTGCGGCATCCCCATGATTGACGAGGATGGCCGTCCTCGGCCTGTCAAGATTGAGGTTGACGCGGGCATCACCGTCGAGGGCTCAGGAAACATTGTCGGCAACGAGGCCGTCGTGAACGAGGTCCTCCGCCAACGCGGCCTTGGCCGCAAGAGGGCAGCGGACTTTGATGATGAGAGCGATCTGTCTGCCCCTCCAACGAAGCAACGCCGTGGAAGTGGCAGCATCAGGAGCAACTCCCCTTGAGAACTAGACCTGCACGTCTCGAGGCGTTTGTTTTATCACTCATCTACTCTCATCATCTGAGCCGGCGTTATAATTCACGATGCTCTTGGGAGCATCGCCATGCCTTCGCGTCCGGTCTACTTGCTTTACGTTGGAGCACTTGGCGTTCAGGCACCTTGGTCATGATAATATACCCACAAAGGCAATGCCTTTTTCTGTTTTTGTTTCTTCATGCATACTCCGATGACGAGACATCGGAGGATGGGGGTACCATTAGGAGAGGAGGAAAACACGTGGTCGACTGCTTCTGGAACAATCCAAGCAACAACCTTGGTGACTAGTACCATGAATAGACCTACTTCTGACAACAATCATCTTGTCTTGTGCACACTGTGACTGCCGTGGCCCAGGGGTAGTAGTAGCTGGAATGAGAGTCACCATGTGACGGTTGGCTTCACCCCTCTCAAACAGCATTGTAGTTTTTTCTTTGTCGACTTGGTATGCAGTTGGTCCGTCTTATCACATGCCGAACGTGGAAATAAAGAAGAAGAAAAAAGAGAGAAATGAAAAACAAAGCCCAAGCACTCAAACTCCGACGAACCCCGACAGAGCTAGCAAAGAGCGTGCTTGATGCTCACGAATTGACCCTCCCCGACAATATTGTTGTTGTTGGTTCGGCATTCTCAAGGTGTCCGAAGCCTCGCATCACTACCATATTAGTAGTCTGTTGATACCTTATTTTCTACAACGCCGCCGTCATGAATGAAGTGCTACTAGTAGTAGGAAACGTCATCGGCCGCGTGATGCGGACTCCGCGCCTCTTTTGGGGGGGGGGGGGGGGGGGGGGGGGGGCCTCTGTGTCAAAATATCTGGTGATTTCTCTCTTGGCGGAAGGACTAATATCTGGGATGTGTTGGCCGAGGCATCAAGCAAGGCAAGATATGAGGAGGAGAAGGAGGATGGATGATGGAGAGAAGGGAGGATGTAAAGAAGGGGGTGGTCCGAGTTGAGATTGTATCCGAAGCTACCTTACTACTACTAGTATTGCAAACCCCGAAAGAGAGCAAAAGTCCATCGCCATCACCATCCCAGTCGTTATCGTGAATATGAAGAAAAGGAGTGGTAGTACTACTACTACCAAGTCCATGCGAGCGCGAACCTCCACGTGCTCTTATGCTGTTGGTCCTACTACTACTAGTTGGATGTGTCAAAAGCAAGAGACAACATTCCCGCCACACCTTCTTTTCCTTCTCTCATCTAATTTTTCTTTTTTCCCTTCCATTTGTTTCGGCCGCTGCGGGAGAGCCGCCCGATTGGATCAAATCTTATGGCTCAGTTTTGAGAGCCGCATTCCTCTCGCCCTCCGGGGAGAGACGTCATCCGTGTTCACCTTACCTTGATATTACTAGTTGACAAGGCTTTTTTCAGGTTGGGCTGTTGGTTGGAAAATGAAAACCACGTTTATGTGAGGATCAGCTTGACATGGGGCTAGGCAAGCAACTCCGATATTCTTCTGCTCTTTTTATTGTTATTGTTGTATTCTGAAGATTCGCATGAGTTGGTATGTATTTGCTGTGGGTGCTGCTGCTGTCTCTTAAGATAAGGGTCGAGGTTGAGCCAAGGCTCAGCCCCCGCCAGTCTAAAAATCGTCCTGGCCATTGCGCTCGATCGATTTGCTTGCGGTTGTCGGGATCTGATTTGACGGCGCTCCATCTGTGTCCCTCTTTTTCTCTCTCCCTCTTCCCCAAGCAGAGCGGTTCCCTTAGGTACCTATGTAGATCGCCTCTCTTAGACGCGTCTCTCTCATCGCATCGCAGCTCGCCTTTACTCACCACACACTCCCTGCATCTGTTTGTTTGTTTGTTTGTTTATTTGCTTCTCTCTTTGTCCCCATTGCTGTTTCTCCTCCTTTTTGGTGCTGTTTGGCCCTCCCCTGTCATAGCTCACTCACTCACTCAAACCCCCCCCCCCCCCCCGTCTCACCTACATACATACCTTACCTTACACCCTCTTCCGTGATGGCCGACCTCACCATCCGCAACCTCACCATCACGCCGCTGGAGCTCGTCTCGGTCCAGCGCTTCCAGGGCGAAAAGGTGCGCACGGGCAACGTCGTGGCCAACGTCACGGGCACCATCACCAGCTTCATCAACGCCACCGACTTCTCCGCCCACCGCCTGCTGCCCCGGGGCGACTCGCACGACGCCCGCGACGTCTCCGTCCACCTCGACCCCTTCCGCGCCGTCCGCACCGACGTCCGCGCCCCAGACCCGGCCGGCCGCGAGATCCTCCGGCTGACGTTCCGGGCCGGCGACCGCCGCTATGAGACGGACGTGCCCAGCCCGTCGCGCAAGTCGGCCGTCATGAAGCGCATCGACGGCGGTGATGACGACGATGACGACGAGGATGCCCTGGACCTCACCGTCGTCTACGTGCCCACCGGCGCCTTTCTCGCCGTCTTCTCCTCCGCCAAGCTCCACGCCTGGATGCGGCAGCTCGACGACGCCTGGCCGCTGCCGCTGCTCTCCATCCCCGGCACGCACAACTCGCCGACGTGCCACACGGCGCTGCCCTCGGTGCGGTGCCAGTCCGTCGGCGTCCCCGAGCAGCTGCGCAACGGCGTGCGCTTCCTCGACGTGCGCGTCTCCGTCAGCCCGGACTCGGACGCCCTGCCGCTCGTCCACTCCGTCTTCCCCGTCTCCCTCACGGGCATCAAGTACTTTGCCGACATGCTCGCCGACATCTACAGCTTCCTCGACGCCAACCCCAGCGAGACGGTCCTCATGAGCCTCAAGCGCGAGGGCGCCGGCCGCGGCTCCGACCACCACCTCAGCCGCCACCTCAAGGCCAGCTACGTCGACCGGCGGCCCGACCGCTGGTGGACCGAGCCGCGCGTTCCCTCGCTCGGCCAGGCCAGGGGCCGCATCGTCCTCGTCCGCCGCTTCGCCCTCGACGACCACGTCGCCCGCGAGTCGTGGGATGGTCGCGGCTGGGGCATCGATGCCCAGCACTGGCCCGACAACTGCGAGGACGGCACCTGCGACGGCGGCCACGTTCGCGTCCAGGACTTTTACGACGTCACCGAGAGCAAGAACATTGAGCGCAAGATTGACTACAGCCGCGGCCAGCTCGAGCGCGCCGCCGAGCGCGAGTTCCACGTCGTTGGTGGCGCTGCTGCTGCTGCTGCTGCTCACCACGACGAGTCGACGGCGACGACGACGACGGCGCTGCCCATCTTTCTCAACTTCTTGAGCGGGAGCAACTTCTTCAATGCCACGTGCTGGCCCGAGAGAATCGCCGCCAAGGTGAATCCCGCCATTGTCGAGTATCTCTGCATCCGCCACGGCGAGGACGGCAAGGGGCCTAAGCAGCTCAAGGTCGGCGCGGGGAGCACCGGCATCGTCGTCACCGACTGGGTGGGTGCGAATGGCGATTGGGACTTGATTCGGTGCATCGTGGGCTGGAATGCGAGGTTACAGCTGCCCTGAGGTTGGGATTCAAGGGGGGTTTCGCAAGCTGTGAGTGGCATCTTGCATGGTCTCTATGTGTGCAAACACAATGTGGTGAGAGGAAGAGGAAGAGATGGGATTTAGACTACGTCACATAGGCAAACCGCGCATAGAGCGCAGATGATACGATGTTTTATAAAATAGATTATGCAGGGATATATATAGATATATAGAAACCATATATGATGCTGCTCCAGCGTGACACAAAAGCTGACCTAAGTAGGTCATGTCATACATCTCGTTGATCCTTTTGTCATGTCTAAGGCAACCAAGTTAGCCATTGCGCTACCATCATTTGTATCAAACAAGAAAGATTTGAGCAACCATGTCAGTTCTCCAAGGTGAAACTTTTTTTCGTCACGAGGAACTCGGCCAATGTAGATAATAAGGTAAAGTCATCATGATGGTAGGGGGTCCGAAAGAGAAGAGTAAAAAAAAGGATGCCAGCTACATACCATTTCCGCGGCCAGCGCGAGACATCGGCGATGCCCACCTAGACTGCTTCATACAATTGTCAGCTCCCGGCTACACATGAAGTGCATCAAGCATAGGAATAGTAACAGCATTGACATCGTATGTCTGCCTCATAGTTAGTTTACGTGCTTCAGCAATGACGGTAAATCAGCTGCACTCACTATCAGAAGGTGTAGGTTTGTTCATATCCAACAACGCCCGAAGGTGTCGTGGTCAGACAGTGTGAATACAAAAAAAAATGACATTTCATCACAGTAATACGACGCCAAGATTGGAAAAGAAAGTTTTTTTGAATAGTAAGTACCTATGGTTGGACGAGTTAGCCGACAGGTACATTCCCAGCTTGAACAAGGAATCAATTCCTATGGACCACGATCAGGTGACGAGATCTCATCCTGAGTTCTCCCTCCCCTTCACCACGAGGATTGTACGTCCTCGCTTTCTCAGGGATGAAAGGAAGAGAGGCTCGATATGTCCGCCCGTTCGTTCAAATTTTCATCATGTGGAATAGGTTGAGCCGAGAAGGGTTGTGGAATTACCTGTTGACAGTCTGAGTTAGCGAGCTAGCTTTGACAACAGTGGACGGCATATAATGAAAAGGCGTCGAGATCTCTGGTCAGACAAGGCTGAAACTTATAAAACACGGTATCCACATCGTATATTAAGCATGAGGAATCCCTGAGGTGTCAAATGTTCATCATACAGAGAGGGGTAGGCAGTCGACAATGGGGGGAGAGAAGAATGGAGAGAGCAATATCACCAACCTTTTGAAATTGCAAATCACACTGAGTGGCATCGAGGGCGTTCCATCCCTAGTACCTGGACATCTGAGACGCGTTAGCAGAGCTCTCCAACGTGCCAAGGTCTGAGCAAGAAGTGATCCAAAGCTTGATCAGTGAGGTTGTAAAAGAATTTACATAGTCACCATGGTTTGGTATGAATTGGATTGTTCATGAAAAGTAAGGCATCATGTAAGGCGCAATCAGGAAGAGACGAGTGCAGCTTACCTTGACAAGAGTCCCTCAGCCACCAGAGAGCGCACCGGAGCGCGCACTTGCAGCTCCGGAGTTGAGCTTCTTCTGGTGGTTGAGATGGTGAAGAAGAAGAAAAAGAGAAGCTTGGAAAATTTCTCGGTAGAATTTAAAGCAGCCCGCGCTAGATCCGCTTTAGCGCTAAGCCAAAACAGAGCTTTGCAAGGGTTGAGACTCGAGAGGCAGCCGCAGCCCCGCACTCGGTGGCGCAGATCTCATCTGTGGCGGTGCTGCCAACGCATTAGCGCGCTGCATGCTTGCGTGGCGAATGTCATTTGCCGGATTCTATGGTAGTGCCTAGTATATAGAAGCCCGTCACTTCCCGTCGCCTCTCCTGAATGAAGCTTCATCTTCAACCTCTTTCAACCACCTTCTAGGTGAAAAAGAAGCCAAAACTTTTCCTCAACATGGCGTCCGCGGGGGCGATATGGGGCCCAGTTGCCCTGCGTCTCCTCCGAGCCGCCGTGTCTCGGACGACAGCCGTGGTCCGGGACAAGCTCGCCAGCGCGGCGAAGCCGCTGCAGAATCCAGCACTCCAACCAGTCGCCGTTCCCGTCAGAAGCGGTCGACAAGCCATCAACCCAGCGGCCCTTGCCGCACAGCAGCAACGAGGTGCCCGAGGCTTCTCCAGCACCTCGGCCAAGCGTGCCAGCAAGGCCGTCCGACGACTCCTCAGCTCCGAGAGCGCCGCTCCTCGACTCGATCGATCCAGGCTCCCGAGCTCCAACACTTCTCGCCAGGTTGCTCAGTTCTCCGGACGAGCTCCTTTTGCCAGTGCTCTGCGACCCAATCTGACGGGCGGAGCCATGCCCCGGACTGCCGGCGGCTACAGCCTGGGCGGCGGTGCCCGATACTTTTCCCACACACCAGCAGCCCCTGCACAGGTCGTGCAGAATGTCTCGCAGGCAATGCGGGCCTTTTTCCTCTCCGGACAGCGAATCCGGTACGACGGAGTGGGACCACGCGGTGAGGCCCAATACCGGGCCGTCTCCGTTGTGGAGGATGAGGCCATGCGTAAGCTGGCCGCCATGCCCAAGTTTGCCCCTGGCGCCTACGTCGACTTCCAGCTGAGCCCAACCATCACGGCCATGAGCCCTCTTGCTGCCGCCATCGTCCAGGCGTCCGGCACCTCCGGCTTCCAGGGCCAGACTGTCGTCCCGAGCCTCAACACTGAGGGATTCCTCGACGTCCTGTCGGCGGACTTTGGCCGCGCCTTGAAGGACCTGACTGCCATCTATGCAGACCTCGAGCGGCTCTCGGCCTTGGGCGACCTGCCGATATCTCTCGAGTCAGGCAATCTGCTCCGGGTCCGATTCCCAGGCGTCGATGTCGAAACAGTAGAACGACTCTGCGATGACATTGGTGTCCAGCGGGGCATTGTCAGCCAAGATGTCGGGTTCGAGAGCGCTACCGGCGCAAAGATGGCGTTGAGATTCCCTTTCGCGCCAGACTCTGCCAAGGCATTGACGTCCCCTGGAGGCTCGGAGAGGTCTCTGGAAGGACATGAGCTAGACGACATATCGTCTCTCGGCGACGAATCCTTCGTCCACGAGGCTTTTGCGTACGAAAACTCGGAGAATCCCTGGATGTCGGAGACGGACGGATATGAGAGCATGTCACCTCCAGTGGAGTCGGAGCAGCAATGCTCTGACGAGTACGAGGGCCTTGAAGGCATCTACCGGTTTCTCGAAGAATGCGACAAGGCCAAGGGCCGATTGGGCTGATGCAGATGCAGCTGTCTGCATGCATGCAGCAGGACGGGGGGCAACAACGCAGCCAGCAGGTCACAACGACAAGTGACCGTGTCAGAACCAACACAGCATACGACGTTATGATATTCGAACCTCCACGCTCTTTTCTTTTCATCTTCTTTGTATTAACAACACAACCATTTAGCTTAGCTTAGCTTACGACGCGAATGAAGATTTCCTTTGTGCATTTACACACCTTGGGTACTTGGTAACTTCTTTTCCCACGTAGAGACTCATGAACGGCCGATGCATGTTTTGCCACGAGACTCGACGTCGGCAAGACCTCGCATTCTCAGGTCGCTGCTAGACTAGGTATGTCGTCTTGTTGGACCTGAGGTGCCCTTAATAAAGCTGGCCTTTCGACACGTTTCCGCCGGGACTGGAGGGATACGGTGGGCCCTTGAGGAGATTGGTATTGGTCGAAATGTCCTGCAGGAAGAAGCCAAAGGAGAAGAGATAGGCGCAGCAGAGGTCGCAGTTGATGACAGAGACGGGCGACATGGTTCCTGGTGGAGGCTGGACGGGATTGAGCGGCATCGCGTGACTCGGCAAAAAGCAACGACGCTGCATTCAGATGTGCAGATGCAAGGTGTGCAAAGGTGCAGATGCAGAGGGTCGTATCTTATCGCTTATCGATAACACTCACTCTGTGCCTTACATGATCCAATACTACCTACCTACCTACCTAGTAGTAGACGCACATGCTCGGACATGGTCTAGCACTTGTCTGTCATTTGAGCTATTGGAGGCTCAGGAATCAACTGCTTAGGCCTCCTCTGAACTGCACCGGATGATGATCTACTAGTACCTCGAATAATGCAAGATACAAATGCAGATTCTGGGGAAAAGCCTTTACAGGTTTCTTTTATCAGATCATCTCGCAGCCTCTGATAACGCCACCGGAGATTGACTTCGCGGGGTTACTCGGCTGCCGACCAGAGACCCCCCCGGCAGAAGCAGCTTCTTCCCCACAGGACAGGCGTTGCCTCGGCTTGGAGCTTTGCGTGACCATTGAAACTCTCGCTCACCCTGTTGATAGTTCCCATCATTTAATAAGCTGACGGGCCTCTCCCATTTCTATTTCCTGCATTTGCCGTCTGCTGCTATCGCGAGATACCCTCAATTCTGTCCGTTGTATCTCTCTACTTCTCGTTGTCATCATCTGCACAATGTCTGGCCCTGGTGTCGGCTTCGAGTACCCTCCCCAGCCCGTGGCTTGGCTGAAGCGCGATGTGCTGCTCTTTGCAAACTCCATTGGCGTGACGGCCGACGAGCTTCACTATCTCTATGTAAGCTGCTGGATGCCGGCAGGGACCGACAAGTTCTTCTGCACAGGACGCAATTGACAGTGTGATATTCCAGGAACTGCATCCCAACTTTGCCGTCTTCCCTACCTATCCCACCGTCCTGCGTGAGTCCTCCATCCATCCATCGCAAACCATCTCCAGCATTGCATCTCCTGCGCCAGCCCTCTAACAGATGAGCACAAAAAAAAACAGCATTCAAGGGCGACTCACAAGAAGTCATCGACTTCTACGCCTCCCAGAAAAAGACCAAGATCCCCGGCGTCCCCGACTTCGACTCCCGCCGCGTCGTCGACGGCCAGCGCAAGATCGAGTTCCTCAAGCCCCTGCCCGTCACGTCGGCCGGCCGCAAGTTCGAGCTCCGCCAAAAGGTGCTGGGCGTCTACGACAAGGGCCGTCCGGGGTCCGTCGTCGACACCCAGCTCGAGCTCGTCGACGCCGACTCCAACGAGGTCTACACGCGCCTCCTCGGCAGCTCCTTTTTCGTCGCCCAGGGCAACTGGGGCGGGCCAAAGGGTCCCGCGACCGAGAGCTTCCCGCCGCCCAAGGACAAGAAGCCCGACTGGGTGCTGGAGCACCAGATCTCCAAGGAGGCGGCGCACCTGTACCGGCTCAACGGCGACTACAACCCGCTGCACGCGACGCCCGAGCCCGGCGTCAAGATGGGCTTCCCCGGCGCCATCATGCACGGCCTGTATTCGTGGAACGCGACTGCTCATTGCATCCTCAAGGCGCTGGCGGGCAGCGATCCCACTCACATCAAGGAGTACCAGGCCCGGTTTGCCAGCCCCGTGATGCCCGGCGACAAGCTCGTCATCAATGTCTGGAGGACGGGCGAGAAGAAGGGCGACTTTGAGGAGATTCGCTTCGTTGTTGCCGTGGAGAACGGAAAGGTGTGCTTGAGCAACGGCCGGGCTCTGGTCAAGGTGCTGGGAGACGTTGTGGGCGACATCAAGGGAAAGCTGTAATTGTATGTATGGATGTTTGTGCCATTTGATGTCTTGATCTTGAGGGCCATATGATGGGGTTTCCCTGTCAGCGAAAGTACATATGTCTTGCCTGTCAATTACAACCGAAAAATTTTTAACGCTTAGACCTGAAGAATAATTGACAAGTCCTGAGTAAATTGTTCGTAAAGAAAATGATAACTGCTGCCTCGTGTTGCGCATGCTGTCCAGCAATAAACCGCTGCCTGCGTCGGAATTATGTGGCCAAATTCTGCTGCCTGACTGAGCGTCTAACCTGTACCTACTTTTCCCCCTTATATCTCACCTCTCATCCCCATCTTCAGGCCCCCCCCCCAAAAAAAACATGCCTCTCCTCTCATGACGCCTCTTTGCCTCTCATTCCAGCGCAGTTTATCATACTAGAAAATGAGCCAGACGCATCATATCGGCCAGCGAATCTCTTACGATGGCGCGGCCTGCACCGTCCGCTTCATCGGCGGGGTCGCGGGCACGACAGGCACCTGGTTAGGCGTCGAGTGGGATGATGCCTCACGGGGGAAACACGATGGCTCTCACAAGGGCGTTCGCTATTTCACATGTTAGTTGAGCATCTACTTTTTTTTTTTTTTGCCAATATTCAAACAACTCTTGAAGATATCTCCTCTCTGCCCATGTCCCAGCAAGCCAGCTAGCTAACAGAGACAATCGTATGAAAATCAAAAAAATGCAGGCATATCAAAATCTCCCACGGCAGCCTCCTTCGTCCGCCCAACCCGCCCGGCAGACGCTCCGCAGAGCTTCCTCTCGGCCCTGCACGAGCGCTACGTGGCCGACGCCCCCGGGCAGACGCAGGGCAAGTCCAAGACGGAGATTGTCATCTCGGGCAAGGTCGCGCAGGAGATGGGCTTCGACAAGATCTGGCGGCGGCAGTCCCGGCTGCGGGAGATGAAGATTGTCGTCCTCGACGGCCTGAGGGTCGCCTGGGCGCGGGACGACGGCGACGTGGATGGCGAGACAGGCGAGCCCAAGACGATCAAGGAGACGGCGCCCAAGATTGTCGAGCTGGATCTGAGTCGGAACCTGTTTGAGAGGCTGGCGCCGGTGGTGGAGATTTGTCGCGATCTAAAGGATTTGCAGAAGCTTGCCATCAAGTGAGTCCTTTTATGTCCCGGTTGATCTGGTCTGGCTACGCCCATGCTGACCCAGAGTCTTCTTTCTTCTCTCTCTTTTCTCTTGGCGTAGCGGAAATAGGTTTCAAGATGTCCTCACCGATGAGGCTCTTCAAGGCGCAGAATCCGTCTTTGGGGGCGTGACAGAGCTGCAGCTGGGAGAGACGCTGCTGAGCTGGCAGGAGCTGTGTCTCATTGCCAGCAAATGCCCGTCTTTGTCCTCCCTCCTCGTAGGATCGAACCAGCTGGCGACTCTGCCACCTACAGGCGGATTAAGCTTACCATCGACTCTGACATCCATCAACCTGGAATACAACGACTTCACAAGCCTGTCAGACATTGCCTACCTCACATCACTCAACGCCCTTCGCCATCTACAGCTCAAGGGAAACAACATATCAGCAATAACCGCCTCGGCCGACTCCTCCTCCCCCGTCGTCGTCTTCCCTCCCTCCGTGCAATACGTCGACCTCTCTTACAACAAGATTGACGGCTGGGACTTTGTCGACAAGCTGCCGGCCGCGTTCCCCGGCATGACGGGCCTCCGCATCACGCACAACCCCATCTACTACTCCTCCATGGACGCCGACTCCAACGCGCAGTCCTCGGACGAGTCCTTCATGTTCACCGTCGCCCGCATCGCGCAGCTCAGGACGCTCAACTTTACGCACATTTCCGCCATGGACCGCACCAATGCCGAAATGTTCTACCTCTCGCGCATCGCGAAGCAGCTCGCCACCGTGCCCGAAGCCGCGGAGGATTCCATCAAGGCGTTGCATCCGCGGTACAATGCGCTGTGCGAGGCGTATGGCGAGCCGGATGTCATTCGCCGCGAGGAGATTAACCCCAATTTCCTCGAAGCTCGCCTCGTCACCACCGAGTTTCACTACGAGGACGCTCCGGAAGGGTCGAAGAAGACGAGGACCGTCAGGATCCCCAAGTCGTTTGACATTTACGCCGTCAAGGGCATCGTGGGCAAGATGTACGGCTTGAAGCCCCTCAAGCTACGTCTCATCTGGGAGACGGGCGAGTGGGATCCTGTGGCAGGATATGACGAAAAGGGCGGCGACGATGATGATGATGATGAAAGTGACAATGAGGAAGAGCTGGTGGAAGCGGACGGAGACAGCCAGACGGCAGCAGACGGCGCAGCCGATGACCAGGCAGGGCGGTGGGTAAAGAGGGAAGTTGAGCTGACGGATGGGCCCAAGCAGCTGGGGTACTGCGTCGACGGGTTGAGGGCAAGGATCAGAGTTGAGGCATCACGCAGCAATTAGAACACACGCTTTCACTAGATATAGAATAGCTGACGATGGATGATTATATTGATGTCTCTGATCTGTCGGTCTGCTCTTGGGCATGAATTTTCCTCCAATGGTTTCATCAAGTGACCGGTCCGACGACCCCACGGATTCACAGCTCGTCGGACGAAAGAAGAAGCTCGATGCGGATGCATCTTGCACAGCTCTACAGGTGGCTCCATGGGTACATGTTCCGCGGAGCCGAATCTGCTGACATTACGCGATGGAGAAGCAAATGTAACATGGAAAAACGTATGTACTCGTAACCCGTAAGGCGCCATCATACGTTCTGCCTACGTAGTACCTCACACGTATACTACTCTCACGTACCTTGCGCAAGATGCACTTACGAGTATAGCAGTCCAAGGCAAGGCAGATCCAAAAGTTCCAAAAGCGACATTCCCCGAAGAAGAACAAACTGTGGACACGCGGCGGTCAGCTTGAGAAAGGTTCCTCTTTATGCTTATACCAACTCCGCACAGAACAGGGGTTCGCCAAAAGTCGTCGTCGGAATCCCGCGTCTTGGCGAAAGGGGGGAAAGAGGATGAAGGGGGGGGCAAAGCTGGATGAGATGCTGGACCTATTGCATATTTGCGGAGAAGCAGAAGGCGTGGGGATGCAACATGACATCTACTGCCAGGTAGGTAGGTATGTGTCGGTGATGCGTGAGTGTATGTGAGAGTGCGAGTGTGTAGCCAAGGTATATAAGGAGCGTCATGCTCAGGTATGGGTAAACGGAAGATGTGAAGCACCAGAGTAGGATACAGACTTCTCTTCCCTTTGTCAAGTCAACAGCAATCATCGCAAGGCGGGCAGTCAACTCACCAAGTCACACACTCATCTCTTCACCCCCCTCACACAACAACAACAACAGCAACAACATAAGATGCTCTTCCAAACAACCGCCATCTGGCTCCTCGCCGCCCTCTCAGCCCCAGCCCCGGCCTCAGCCTCCTCCTCAGCCGCCTCCTCCTCCTCATCCCTCAAGTGGCACTGGCTCAACAACCCCGGCATCAAGCCCATCTCCCCCGTCGGCCGCACCGTCACCATCCAAGTGCCCCCCGACACCGACATCTGGCGCCCGGCCCTGTCCAAGCACAACTTCACCGCGCCCTACCTCTACACCGTCGTCCCGGCCGCCCGCTTCCAGAGCGTCCAGGTCACCGTCACGGCGCCCTGGAAGACGCTCTACGACCAGGGCGGCCTCGTCGTGGCCTTTCCCACCAACGGGCACCACCACAACAACGCCAACCTCACGCGCTTCATCAAGGCCGGCATCGAGTTCAACGACGGGGCCCCCGCGCTGGGCGTCGTCGCGACGGACATCCTGTCCGACTGGAGCCTGAGCCCCATCACGGAGCAGCAGCAAGCCGGGGACAAGAACGCAAAGGCGACGATCCTGGTGGAGCGGGACGGCACCGATGCCTGGGTGTATGTGCTCGAGGATGGCGGCAGGACGAGGCGCGCGCTGAGGCAGGTCACTTGGGCCTTCAACGAGGACGATGCGCAGGGCCTGGCGAGGGACGTTGAGGTTGGCATCTATGGGGCGAAGCCGACGGAGGAGGCGGGCGAGGGACACGCGAGGGATGGCATTGCCGTGACGTTTTCGGGGTTTGCGCTCAAGACTGTCTGAATTGGACTAGTAATGATGCTCAGAGAACCTGTTTGGTAGTTTTTCTTGATTCAGTCGTATTTGCTTAAAGAGACTTTGGGTGCTTCTCGCGTGGAGATGACAAAAATCCGTTGAGTGATCATTAGCATCATGCTTGTGTGTGAGAGAGAGAGAGTGTGTGTGTTTTGACGGGGTTAATATCGCCGTATAAGTGAACAGGTCCGGAGAAAAGCACAGCCACGCCGCAATGCCAAAACGCGAGAGAATGGAGTCCCAAAAGAGCTCTCACACACGCTGATCAAATGTCAGGTACTCTTCAACGCACAAACATCTCCGGATGGCGAAGAGCGAGACCGTTTCCATGTCCCTTTCTCCCCAGCTCTCGCGTCTCCGAGCGCCATCAGGAGATAGACTAACCCCGTCATCGTCGAATACCGCAAACACAAAAGGAGCGTAATAAAACAACAACAAAAAAAAAAAAAAAGTTTAGCGCCCGACAATCGAAGACGGGAGAAGAAACTGCCTTTGCTTCGCTCTTTAGATTGGATTTCTCCCGAGCCGGAGATCGGGGCGCTAATGACACTGTAAGGCTGCAGAGATCGGGTTTGCGGTGTCGGAATAAGTGAGTCGAAGCCGCGTCGTTATATCCGATTGCCCAAAGGGGAAATCTGCTGTCGTCGTTTACATCATTGTCGCAGATTGCTGAACAAGCAGCTGGGGGGGAAATGGTGATGGATCGCAGTAGTATATAGAGAGCTGGGGATGCTCAGGAGAAACGAGTTGTGCTTGAGATAACTTGGGTAGACATCAATCAGAGCTTCCAAGGACATTTCATCTTGCACCTGACAGCTACGCTTGTGCTTGAACAATACCAGTCTTATACAACAACAACAACAACAACACAGAACAACATGCCTACGGTTATTGGCCGAGAAGTTGGTCCCATTGGCTACGGCCTCATGGGTGAGTCTGATCAAGGTCGGAGACGAACCACGACAGCTCTTGACTGACATGCTTCATTCAGGCTTCACTTGGCGACCAGAGCCTACTCCTCTGGACCAGGCCATTGCCGCTCTCAAGACGGCAGTCGAAAGCGGCATGACCCTCTGGAACGGCGGCGAGTTCTACGGCACGCCCGAATGGAACTCCATGACGCTGCTCAGGCACTACTTCACCAAGTACCCAGAGGACGCCGACAAGGTCACGCTCATCATCAAGGGCGGAGCGGACCTCAAGACGCACAAGCTCGACGGGTCTCCAGAGGGCATTCGACGCTCGCTCGACAACATCATCAACCAGCTTGGGGGCACCAAGAAGCTGGATCTCTTCAGCTGCACGAGAAGAGATCACAACACCCCCCTGGAGGTGACCTTTGGAGTCATCCAAAAGGAGTACATCGACACGGGCAAGCTTGGCGCCATCGCACTCTCAGAGGTCAATGCCCAGACCATCCACGAAGCGGCTAAGCTTGCCAAGATCGGCACCGTCGAGGTCGAGCTGAGCATGTTCAGTCCGGATATCCTGACCAACGGCGTTGCCGCGGCATGTGCCGAACACGACATCCCCATCACCGCATACTCTCCCATTGGACGAGGAGTGAGTTAACAAAATCTCCGCTGAAGAACACAACACATCTGGGCCGCGTCCACAGCATGCTGACTTTTTTTGTTTGTGAACCCGCAGATGCTCAGCGGTAGATTCAAGGACGTCTCAGAAGTCCAGTCCTTTGGCTTCATCGCCACGTTCCCGCGCTTTCAAAAGGCCGCCTTTGAACACAACCTGCAGCTGGTCAACCACGTCGAGGCTCTCGCCAAGGAAAAGGGCTGCACCCCGGCCCAGCTCGCCATCGCCTGGGTGCACAGCCAGGGCAAGCGACCCGGCCGACCGACCATCATCCCCATCCCCGGCGCGACTACCGCAGAGCGCGTCAAGGAGAACTCGCAGCTGATCGAGCTGACGGAGGACGAGGTGAAGAAGATTGACACCGTTGTCGAGTCGTTTGAGGTGGCTGGCGCGCGATACCCTCCCAGCGTGCCCACCAACACCTAGAACGCGCAGTTGTGTCTTTTTACACTATACATCTGATATTGTACGTTAGAAGAGCAAACACGAAGTTTCAGCCAGCAAGCAGACAGAGGTTTGAATGAAAGAATCAGGGGTGAAATTGTCCACATGCGGTCAAATCGGCTTGAAACCAAAATGACCTTGAGCATTGCAGAATTCATCGAAATGAATGCATCATGTTGTGCTTATGAGCAAAGGAGAAACGAATTCTTGATCAAACTTACCCTAACTAAACATGGCGTTTTTCATTCAACTTAGCGAGCCATGTTGAACGGCACATTTTGTGTCACCTTTGCTACATGTAAGGTAGGTAGGTAGTGAAAGAGAGTTCAAGACAGAGGGCAAAAATGTTCGCCTGGGGTTGAAATATCTCGCCTATGGAAGCTCTCACGTGACACTGAGAAAGCGGGTAGCTGACAACCTCACTCTCCTTATTACCTACCTAGGTATCTCAACCCCTGTCAGGTTGAACAGGGTAGAATAGCTGGGGACTCATACCTGATGGCCATAAGCTAGATGAAATATGCAACATCTCAAAGCATCACACGTTGATCAATATCTCGTTGCTCTCATAAGTCTTCTGCCTCACACTGGTCTAGGGGTATTATACATAGAAGCTCACCTTCATCAGTCATTGCACATATAAGGATACCAAGAAAAGGGAACATTAAAAGGTGCCATGCATGCCAGTAAACAAGAAAGGGAAAGGAAAAGAAAAAACAAGGAAAGAAAGAAAGAAAGAAATGCTAAACCATCATCGCCCCGTTCATGCCCACGGCCTCCACCCTGTTGACAAGCTTCTTCACATTGGCCCATTCCTCATTCTTCAGCCCTTCCTTGCCGCCCAAGCCACTCGCCACTTCAAAGACGGTAAGGGAGCCGTCAATGCCTCCAGTCGCAACGCGTTTGCCGTCGTTGGGCTCCCAAGCCAGCTTGTTCAAGCTCTTGGAGAGCATCGTCCGGCCTTCTTGCCGGCTGCTCGGCGATATCCTCGAGACCGGCTCCTCCGTGTCAATGGCAATGTCCCAGAATTCCAGCCATCCAGCTCCATCCACAAGGGCGAACACGCTCGGCTTCACCGGCGACCACCTGGCATCGTAGACAACGTCCTCGCGGACAAAGTCTATCAGCGGCGAGATGGCACCATCTCCAGCACCAATCGTCGACGTGGCCGCGGGAGCACGAATCTTCCAGAGCTTGACGCTCCAGTCCAGCGACGACGAGATGGCCAAGTCGCCGAGATCCACGGGGCCCCTGGCGGGGTGGAAGTCGACTGACATGACGGGGGCCGCATGCCCCTTGTAGCTGATCTTCTTGTCGACACCAGCCTTGGCGCCGGCGCGGTCATAGCGGTGGCAGGGGAATATCGTACCCTCTTCGCTTCCGACGAGGAAGAATGTGGGATCCGTCTGAGGGAATGATAGACATGTAGGGCTGACGTCCTCGACCGCCACCTTTGCCTGGCTGGGATTCTTCAGCTCGAGCAGCTCTTGCGGCTGCGCAAACACGTCCATGCTCCAGCCGCAGACAACGCCATCCGTGGAACATGAAATGATATTGTTGGCGTTTTGCGTACCCACAATGTCCACGCAGTAGATTGGGTGCGCGTGGCCGTAGCCCGTCAACGGTGTCTTTTGTACCGGCGCAGACTTGGCTCGAGTATCCCACAGCAAGACCTGGCCGCTGTACGAGCCGCCAACGATGAGATTCGGGTGGTAGGGCGAGAACTTTGCCGTAAGAATATCGGACTGGGCGGTGAAGACATACTCCGGCCGGTTATGCATGTGAATGTTCCAGACCTGGACGAGGCCATCCGGTTCGTGGGGTGCTGTCGGATTCTTGGTGTAAGACGCGAGCACGAGCTCGTTGAACTTGGGCGAAAAATCAATCCCACTGATCATTCGCTTTTTAGACCAACGATCATCAAAGAACTGTGTCACCTCCTTGACTCGATGCACCCCCTTACCCCCCGTATTACCGCTTTCTTCGTCTTTGTCCTCCAAATCCTGGCCATGCAGGGCGTAGTCGGTAAGGATATCATACGTCTCCTGGTCCAGCGCCCTCTCAATCACCTTTGTCGACTGCTCCAGGAAATCGACAAATTCGTCCGAGTGGGTGACGGCCTCGAGTTCCTCGGCAGTAAGTTCTCTGATCGGATAATTGTGTGTGGAAAAGGGCTGGGCCGCCGCCGCACCCTCGGCCATACGCTCTTTGGTCGCCCGCAGCTCTTCTTCCACCTCCTGTCGGATCTTCTGGCGCAGCTCCTCCTCTCGGTCACGCTCCTTTCTGCTCAGCCGTTTGTTCGGCGTTGATGTCACGAAATCGTCTGCATCTGACGCGATAGACTGAGCCCTTGTTCTGGTTGGGGTGGCCCATTCATCCGTCGTTTGTACACCTTTGCTGTAAGAAAAGACCTCCTTGACAGGGCTCGGCGGGCACTCGTACACGGTCGTCAGAGGCACCGTGGTAAGATTCAGCGCCACAGGGGTAGGGCCCGGCGTCGCTTGTCCGCCTTGTCCGGTCAGGGACGCAGTCCATTCCGACGTCACATTGCTAATCTCTCCGCCGCTGAGCACACTATTCGGCCTGCTTCCACGGGGCGCTGGCGATCCAGGGGGTCCGGTCCCGATCGAGCTGGGCCTGCTACTACCGACCAAGCTGTCAATCAGGGTTTCGATCTCGCGGCGACTATCTCCTCGGGGTGTCGGTGATACCAGCTGTGGCAGGCAGGCAAGCCGTCAGCGGACGCGAAAGCCAACATTGGGCGAACAGACTGGTTGGAAAGGGGGAACAAAAGGACAAACCTCGCTGGGCGAGCTCATGCCAGTGCGGTTGTACGGCGTCTGGTTGGAAGCCCGAAGCTCCCTCTGGCGCTTAAGCTCTGCGAGCTTCGCCTTTTTGGCAAGAATCTCTTCTCGACGTTGCTGCATCGTGATTGTTTCACCCAAGTCCCATCGCGGGACTCGCCAGGACAGGAGGTGAGGCCAAGGTGCGACGGATCAAGGAGGGAGGTCAAGCCACGGCGCCACGGAAGGGTTTCGCAGCAAGACAGCGATTCAGTCAGAGGGGCGGGGTTCGATTCAGGCGCGAGGCAGTCTGGAGCGGAATAGAAGGAAGAGAAACGGTTGAGCCAAAGAATAGCCAGGGGAAAGGGACTGCAGTCTGGTCGGGTCACTCCTTTTCCATCGTCTGTAAGAATATCTGGCTAAGAAATGGAAGCCTGCCCTGCCGCTTCACCGTAGGCCCTGGCCTCTTTTTGTCTGTAGGTTAGTAGGTAGGTATCGGCAGCTAAGGTAGAGGCGATTGCCAGAGCTTATCTATAGCGTTGGTCTGGTGATAAAGCTTGCTTCTATTGCTATCTGCTGTCCCTTATAGGACTCTATATATAGATATATTATATAACATATACTACATCTCCTAGCTATTAAAAAAAAAATAACATCCTTATTATATTAACTATCTTCCTATTTAATTATATCTTATATTTTTATATATATTTTACTATATAGGTTTAAAGGTTATAAAGCGTCTTTAATAGCAAATTGCATTTCTTATCTGCTTTAATAGCTATTTCCTATAGCTTATTACTTATTATCTTCTATATATTAAGCTATAACTTAAGCTTAATATTTCTTTATATTATATTTATAATCTGCGCTTTAAGTATTATAATCTAGTCTTTTATCTTTATAATAGTAGTTAACTTTCTAGCTAATATATCTTATTCCTTATTATTATTATTACTATTAGGTAGCTTAACCTAATTGCCTAGCAGGGTTATAGTAAAGAACCTCCTATTAAATATAAGTGTAGTTATTTTCTTAAGCCTAAGTAGCATGTGTTTATTAAGTATTATGGCTTTTATTAGTATATTCTTTATTAGTATTTAAGGCATTAAGCTTAATAGGATCTGCAGTTTTTTATTCTTTAGCAGAGTGTAGCCTTAAGTGATTTTTTCTTTATACAGTTATAGTAGCATCTAGTCTATATTAAACTTAATAATATATTTTGCATTTAGTAGGATTATAGCTAATAAGCTAAACTAATGCATAGCTAGGAATCTCTTAGTAACTTTTTTAAAGTATGCTTATTATATTACTGCCTATAGTCTAAATATAATGTATAATATCTAGACTAATATCTAGTTTAGTATAGCTGTGGCATTCTTATAAACCCTATTACTGCTAATAGTGCAAGTGCTTAGGTTAATTATAATATTTTATACTAGTGTAATATAGTAAAACTATTTATGCTATTATGCAGTTTATATAAGGTAGTCTTATTTAAGGGCCTTAGTTATTATAAGTTTAACTGCTATTATTACTAAATTAAGGTCCCTATTTATAATAAAGATAGAGTCTAGATTAAGGATGCTATTATTTATATTATTAGTCTTAAGGGGCTTAAGGGTATTAGCTTTAAAACTAGGGGACTTAGTTATATTAACTTTAGCACTAGGGGACTTAGGGGTGTTAATATTAACGCTAGGGGACTTAGGGGTGTTAATATTAATGCTAGGGGACTTAGGGGTGTTAATATTAATGCTAGGGGACTTAGGGGTATTAATATTAATATCTTTATCCTTTTCTTTATAAGATATATAGAAGCTAGTAAAGGTTATTTTTAAATTATTATTACTATGCATTTATTTATATTCTTAGGTATTAGACTTATTATATTATTTATTAGCCTGTTTATTATTTTAAGTGCTATATTTATTACCTTATTAGCTTATAGTTAAGGGGTCCTGCTTTATTTTTACTAATTTCTATTATTAGTGTTTATATAAAGAGTTAGCTATTAAGGCCTTCTTAGCGCTAGTTATTAAGGGTTTGTCTTTATATTTATTTAATAAATATATAAAGGGTTTAAAAAAGGTTAATATTTTATAAAATATAGTGACCTATGTCTTATTATTATTACTAAACACTTTATAATATTAAGCTTTAATCTTTATAAGGCTTTCTTTTATAATTAGTAGTAGGTGGTTTTTTTACTTTTTATTATTAAATTATAAAGAGCTTAGTAATAATCTTTTTTATTTCTTTTTTATATAGTGTAGTATAGTCTTAAAGGCCTTTAGGCTCTCTTAGTATTTTAGTATTATATAGGCAGAGAGTTATATAAAAGTAGGTAGTTTATATTTTAAATGTTTTTTAGTTAAGTTATAGTAAGTAGTATTATTTTATAATTATTTTATAATTTTCTTATAGTTTTTTTATAATTTTCTTACTTTTTTTTTTTTTTTTTTTTTTTTTTTTTTTTTTTTTTTTTTTTTTATTTAAATATTATTACTAGTATTAATAACTAGTAGTAATAAGTATTTTTATTTATACTAATTATAAAGTAGTTTTACTATATTATTACTTAATTTTATAGCTATTAGCTATTAACTATTTATAGCTAGCAGCCTAATAATATGTATAAGGTATTATATTTTACTATTAATTTAACATTCTTTAATAATGCTATTAAATATAGTATCTGTTATGTAAATAGGTATTAAAGGAGTCTATATAGCATTATCTGCTTTTTTAAATAAGGTGTTAGCAGATGCTGGCTTAAGATAGTTAATAAAGATAATAGGGTGTATATACTATTAGAATAAGATATTAAGTTAATATGCTAATTATCTAATGCATTTAATAACTTTAAAAAGGCTAGTAAACTATAGGCTATATTTAGGTAATATTATAGCAGGTATTTTATATTCTTTATTAAGGTGCAGATATACCTTATTATTAACTTAAAAGAACTTAGTTATATATTATTAGTTATAATAATCCTTTATTATAACTGCTGCTATAAATATTATATTATGCACTAATAGTTTTATTTTTAGCAGGTTAAGAAGTTCTACAGGCTTATTACTAATAATAGTTAATATATTATTTAGTATAAATCCCTTAATAATTTTATTTAGTAATAGTTTAATAATAGCGGATTTTATATTATTAATACTAAATTAAATATATAGTACTATTTATTCTTAGTTAGCTAGGTTATATAGGCCTATAATAAAAACATATATAGCTAATGCTACCTACTATATTATATATTTTAATTAACTATTAGTTTAAGGGTAGTAGGCTATGCTATATAAAAGTATTATCCTAAAGGCTTTTTATAAGGCTGTTTAAATTACTAATAGAAATTTAAGATCTTAGTTTAATATAATAATTTATAGTATTCCCTAATTTATATTTAAAAGCTAAACTACTAGGCTGTCTGTAATCTTAAGTATAGTATTAGTCTTTTTTATAGGTTTAAGGATAACTTCCTTATTAAATTTATTTACTATTACTAGTAAAGCATTATTTTTATTTTTTAATAGCAGTAAGGTAAGTAGGAAGTTAATTATAATTATATAGTAGGGGGATAGTAGTAGAAGTATTAGCTAAAGGTTTTTATAAGCTTAATAATATTATTTTTAATATACCTTATAAATACTGCATTTTTATAAGTATTTTTAGAGTTTTTATAGACCTTTATAAATGCAAAATATCTTAATAATATTACTAAGTTTATTATACCTGCTATAGTTACCTATATATATAATATTAAAGATATTATATTTATAGTCTTATAGAATGCATAATTTAAATAGTATACTAAGGGTTTCTTTTTAAAAAAGACTGTCTTTTTAATAAAATAGTAAAGAGGCTCTGTTATTTTTTAAAAGCTAGTTATTATCCTAAATTACTTTTATAATATGTTTTTATATTAGGTTTATTATATATTCTTATTTAAGTTTTATTTTAAATTTTATTAATATGCTAATAAGGTATATTATAGCTTTTAGCATAGGTTATAATTAGCTGTTTAAGAATGCTATATCTGCTAGTGGCCTAATATTAGGCATTGCTAAGAAGCCCATATAGTATATTTATTTAGTCTTTAGGTTATATATATAGCAGATTATTAAGTTTAGCCTCCTTATTGCCTATTAATAGTTTTTTAATAGTTTTTAATTAGCTTAGCGTGTTAAGGATATAGTGTTCTTTTCTTAATTTATATAAGAGGCAGATATTAAATTAACTAGCGAATTTAAGTGCATAAATAAGCTTTTTATTTACTAATACTTAACTTACTATATTAAAAATATTAATATATTATTATATATTAAGAAGTAAGTAATAGTTAGTAAAGCTAATAATAAGTAGTTAAGCTATTATATTTATCTAGTGTTTTATTTTCTTAAGTATTTATATATATCCTACTATTTTAGATTTTATAAACTAGTATTATCTCTTCTTAGTGTTAAGCACTTTTAATAAAAAATATATAGGCTAGACTGTATTTATAAAAAGGTATTTTACTATCTTTTTATTTATTATTATTTTTAGTATAGCGTCTTCCTTAATATAGTATACTATAATACTAATGCCTTTTTATAATATATTAAAGTTAATAAAAAGCTATTAGTCTGCTAAAAAGAAGATAAGGGCTATATATATAGTAAGGGCTGCTTTAATAGTATTAAAGAAGTTAATCTTAGCAGCTATTAAAGTAATTAAGTTAATTCTCTTAGCCTAGGCTTATCTTACTGCCTTTAATTATTTTCTTATTTTTAGGGGTTATTTTATATTTATATATTTAAATTCTAGCGCTAAGTTAGCTATTTTTAGTAGCGCTGTCTTCTTTACTTAAAGTGGCTTAATAATTATTATATATTTTAGTATATTATATTAAAGCAATTTAGTAAATTTAAGAAAATATTCTAATGCCTTAAGGTTTTTAAGGAATGCTAGGTTATATATAGCTGCTAATTTTTCTGCACTAGTTATTATGCTAAAGCTATTAACTAGTTTACCTAATATAATATTCACTAGGTATTTAATATAGGATTTTATTAGTCTTATAATAATATTATTATCTTATAGCTTAAAGAAAACCTTTTCTAAATCTTACAGATATATTTAAAAGTCCT